CAAGGACCCGCTCCGGTGGTGTAGGAGCGGGCCAAGGGATTAGGCGCCTTGGGCGCTAGGCACGGTGCACTCTTGAGTGCGGAAACCGTGGGCAGCCCTAGGGGTTTGCGATGGCAAGAGGCCAGCCCTAGTGAAGGGTAGTAATAGGCTTTGGGCCTAGGATAGGGAAGGGGAACAACAACCCCTCGGTCCCATGTATTTGGCCACCCGGTGGGGTGATGAATGCTAGGAAGCATTGCAATGTGTGTTGGTTGATTTAATAAAAAGTTCCTTGATTTACTATTTTGCAAAGAGCCTCTAGACACACAGAGGAGGTGCGGAGCATGAGAGAGAGAGAGGAAGAGAGAGAGAGAGAGAGAGAGAGAGAGAGAGAGAGAGAGAGAGAGAGAGAGAGAGAGAGAGAGAGAGAGAGAAAAAGACAAAGCACGGTGGACACGCATGTCCATGGTTCAAAGCACCAGCCCACATGCACTAAAGGCATGCACAACCACGTCTTACCAAGTGGATGACAAGGCGAGCAAAAAAAAAAAAAAAAAAAAAAAAGCGCGATGTGATGTATCGGAAAAAGGGCTAGCCACGGTGCTAGATGAGACAAAAAAAAAAAAAAAAAAAAAAAAAAAGAGGAGGGGGTCCAGAGAGTGACACCTACTTGCCTACCATGATCAGGGTGCCCATGGAGCAAAAAAAAAAAAAAAAAAAAAAACCAAGAAGAAGAAGAAGAAGAAGAAGCGTCGGCGCGCGCACGACATATTTGTTGTCCTTTCGATAGATAGGCAATCTCATTCACACCATTGATCAACGATTGCGCGTACATGCACACGCACATGCATGCGTCAAATGGAACTCCCAACCCTACCCCATTTGCCTCAATTACAGGAGCACGACAGTGCGAGGCGGTATGTTACGACGATCCGTATGAATTTGCCGTCACGGACAAAACCATTACACAAATGCGCGGTCGACTTCGTGCGACCTTTGCGTGGTGGAGCTCCTGGTGTCCCTGCAGCCTCGTCCTTTCCGTCATCGCCAGGGGTTATTGGCTACCATGGAGCCACGGCCCACCACAACCCTTCCACGATCGCAACCATGTCGGGGCAAACACGCATGCTACGTTCACGCGTACCGCTATCCAAGAACTCCTAGAGACCGGAGCAGCAGTCCAGATGCCCGCAACGGAGCTGACGTGTATAAGTCCACTCAATGTGGTCGAGCAAAAAGACAAATGCAGACTCATTCTTGATCTGCGGAAAGTCAACGCAAGCTTAATCGTCCCCAAGTTCAAGTACGAGGGGCTCAACCGCGTGGCGGACCTGGCACGCGTTGGGGATTGGATGTTCTCCATTGACCTTAAATCCGGTTACCACCACATCGACATTCACCCATCATGCTGGAAGTTCCTCGGCTTCGAATTTGGGAGGCGCACGTACGCATTTCGTTCACTGCCATTTGGCCTCGCGACAGCTCCATTCGTCTTCACGCAGCTCATCAAGCAACTGGCTCGGCGCTGGCGAGAACAAGGCATCCGAGTCATCCCTTACGTGGACGACATCTTATTCCTCTGTCAGTCGAAAGACCATGCGCAAGCGATCTGCCAGCGTGTGATATTGGACCTTAAAGAGGCAGGACTCGTGATAAACGCGAAGAAATCACAGCTGTCACCATCGCAACGCCTACGATTTTTGGGTGTACAGCTGGAAACCGATACCGGTCGATTCTCCATCGGTCCCGACCGACGAGCCTCACTACATGCAACCATCCAAAACCTCCTGAGCGCAAGCAAGGCATGCCGACCAGTCCCGGTCCGCCACGTGGCCAGAATCACAGGCATGCTCGCATCAATGGGGGTCGCACTTGGCGCGACCGCTCGCGCATTCAGCCACGCCATGTTACAAGTAATCAATGACGCACCGTCATGGAAAGCAACGTGGTCATCCCCCCAGCCGCAGCAGAGGAGCTACACTTTTGGCTTGAGGAGTTCGACCGGTTCAACGGTGCACCTTTCCACGTCCGGAACAGCTACGATGCGGTAATTCATGTAGATGCCAGCTCTCATGGTTGGGGCGCCACTCTAACTACATTTCCGGGTGGCCTCGAAGAAGCGAGCGCAACCATGTCAGAGCCACTACAGGCAACGTCCAGCACGCGGCGGGAGATCGAAGGCGTCCTTTGGGCGCTCCAAACGTACGCCAACAAGATCAAGCAAAAACACGTTCTCGTGCGGGTGGACAACCAGGGCGTATTCTTCATCCTTCGCAAAGGCGGCTCTCACAGCTCTGACCTCACAATGGCTTGCAAAAGCATCATCCGAACATGCATGGGGCTCGGCACGCGCTTGATCATTGAATGGATCCCGCGAGAGCTCAACTCACATGCTGACGAGCTTTCAAAAATGGTCGACCACGACGACTACGCGTTGAAGAAGCCGTGGTTTCGCATCTTAGAACGTCGTTGGGGTCCGCATTCCATCGACCTCTTTGCAAACTCTCACAACACCCAACTCTCGCGCTTTTGCACCAAGATCCCCCACCCGGAAGCCATCGCAGTTGATGCGTTCTCGATCGCATGGACAGCCGAAAACAACTTCGCCTTCCCCCCACCCCAACTGGTCCCAGCCGTCCTCCACCATGCACAACGCACCCATGCATCACTCACATTAATAGTCCCGCACTGGCCAGGCGCAAGTTGGTGGCCACTTTTGCAACCCTCCCTATGTACTTGGGCTCCACACATCCACGCGCACATCCCTCTCACACACGGAAACCAATGCCTAGATACAGGGTCCCATTCTACTGCCTTCTCGGGCACGGGACTACCGCATAGCCCAATCATTGCACTGCGAGTGGTATTTGACTAATGCATATTGTCCACTCCTGTGTTCAGATTTGCTCCCAAAGTTACACGACCAACTGATCAAAATGCTCGCGCAGTCACGCGCCGATTCTACGATCCGGACATACGAACCATACTGGGCCAATTTTCGAGCATTTTGCACAAAAGTGGATCTCTCCTTTCTTCTAGCTTCCGACATGACACTCGCACTATACCTGGTTCACGCAATCCGACGCAAAGCCACCCTGTCCGTAGTGCAGCTGACGTGCTCGGCAGTAAGCTTCGCCCATTGCATGACTGGGAACAAATGCCCAACAATCGGTCCGTTTACCACCCAAGTCCGCGACTGTGCAAAACGACACTGCCCCCGCCCTACTCGTCTGAAGGAACCCGTATCGATCCAACAAGTCCGCGACATGGCCGGGAGTTACCTGCAGTCTGACGACCCTGCGGAATTTCAGAAAGGGCTGATCCCCATCCTCATGTACTCAGGATTTCTGCGATACTCCGACCTAGTGGCCATACAACGGCAAGACATCCAATTCGACGAAGAGGTCATGTGGATCCTCATACCACACTCTAAGACCGATCAGGCCGGTCACGGAACATGGATACCCATTGCAGCAACGACAGACCCTTGTTGCCCAGTGCGCTGCACCCGACGCTTCATCCAACTCGCCGGCTATGGTCCTCAGTCAGAGGGACCGTTGATTCGTGTCTTCGGGCACGCTTCAAGCAGCAAAGGCCAAGCGAAGCCGCCTTCATACACTACAATTCGGAACTGGTGTAAGGAAGCTTTCGCAAAAGTTGGTCTGGGAGAGCTGCAGCTCGGCACTCACTCTTTCCGAAAAGGCGCGGCCACAGTAGCAGCCAACACTGGAGTGCCAGACAGAGTCTTCAAACGGCTGGGCAGATGGCGAAGCGACACAGCTAAGGAAATGTACGTCACGCCATACGTCGAGCCTCTCATCACAGCATCCCGCAACCTGCAAGATCCGACGCAGGCGGTGTCTTCGGCGCAACACACAGAGGCGCTCGTACGCCATAGGAGGCCCCCGCTGCCCATGTCTCAGAGACCCCAGTTGTAATGAGAACGATGCCAATTGATAAAAATAAGAAAGCAAGCTTTCTCAATATTATAATTTTTAAACACACATTGTGTTTTTTAAAATTGTGTATTGTGAAAGCGAAGCTGCTTGTACTGCACAATTGGCATCGTCGAAGCGCGCTAAACGCCCTTCTCCAACTACAAAAACCGTGGGTTGGAGCTCATTTCCCTCCACCCACGTTTCTCTATTTCAAACGGCTCACTCAACATCCCCACCACCCACCCCAGCGTAGAACGCCTTGCTAATGCCACTTGGATAGGGTACATCTTAGCTAGTGATATTAGCATGCACTAGCTTGTGTTCAATCTCGATGCAAATGTTGTAATAAGCCAGTTGTAATGAGAACGATGCCCAGTTGTAATGAGAACGATGCCAATTGATAAAAATAAGAAAGCAAGCTTTCTCAATACATTCATTTTGTACATGCATGTGCTTGCTTGACATGCCGCACACCCTGGCAACTGCCTTGGCACCGCTGCTGTGATGAGAAAGGGGGTTAGCAGCTGACACAGAGGAGGGCGGCTTCGCTTGGCTGGTACCGGTAAGAAGGGAGCAGGCCTGTCGAAGTTCCTGGGGCCCATACTTGAAGTCCCCAACTCCTCCCTATCTGACCCTGTTTTGGCCGTAGCTGAGTGTTTTGGCGCCCTTAACGGTCACGGGCGCAGGCCAAAGTGAAAACTTGATATCCGGGCTTGCACTTACACTATCTTAGCTAAGGGAAAGTTCTGCTGCTCCAAAGCTGACTTTGATATATCACAAACACGGGATTGGCTAGAAAACGATAAGGGAAAAAATTCCCTTGGCTCGCTCTCGTGCAACCTAAGGAGAAAGGGGGGAGGAGTGGGGGGGTCAGGCATAATTTCTTTGGGGGGGGGGGGGGGTCCTAGAACCGGAAATCAAAACTTTTTGGGTGGGGAAGGCCTGATTGGAGGACTTAACGCATCCGGGGAAGGGTCGAACGAAGCACTTAGTGGCACTGGTGCAGGGCGATCCTAACACTTCATGCAGTCGAGCTGGAGCGAAAGTAGCCCGGAATTTCAGGGCATTCAGGGCATATGCCCGTCAATCGATAGGCCTGGATGGGAGTCCCCCACAGGAGCTTGCTTGACATGCCGCACACTCTGGCACCTGCCTCGGCACCGCTGCTGTGATGAAAAGGGAGGGTAGCAGCTGACACGAGGGTAGGATGGGAGAATGCCATACATGCACTTGCTTCACACTTGCACACACTGCCACCTGCTTCGGCACCGCAGCCGTGATGAGGGGGGAGGGTAGCAGCTGACACAGGATAGGGCGGCTTGTCTTGGCTGGTGGGATGGGAGTAGGTGCATGCGCGTGGGCAAGCATGGCCAACATGACCGTCAGTTTTTCCCCCACCTCCGACCTCAACCCCTGTCGCAAGTCGTTTTGAGAAATCTCAGAACCCGCACAGCATGACCGAGGGTGCCTGTCCGTTCCACCCACCTCCCAAGCTGACAGAGCAGAGGGTGGGTGGGCCTTGGGGGGGTGGGAGTAGGTGCGTGCGTGTGGGCAGGGCCAAAGGGTCGAGAGTGACGTCTTCTTTCCCCCACCTCCCGAAATCACAAGAGAGGAGGGCGGCTGGGCAATGCCTGGGGTGGCGGGATGGGATCATATGCGTGTGCATGGTTGGGTCCAGGACCGCTGGGAGGGAGGGCAGCTGAGCTTTAGTTGGCGGAATGGGAGCAGGACTGTGCGTGTGCACGGCAGGGTCCAGAGTTTCCTATCTGCTCCCCTCCACCTCCTCCCACAATGCAAGCACACTCCGCCTACCCCTCCAGCCATGGCTGTCTCCCATCCTCACCTCTCCTTCCAGCCATAACTGCTTCTGCCAGAACGCTCCTGAACAGGCTGTGTACCCTGTCAGTGAGTGGGTGAGGGCAATGCAAGCACAGCGCTCAGCCCGGCTCCTCCTGAGCATCCATCTGTTTGTTTATTTTCTCCGTCTCCAGGAATCACGTACCCGCTGCCTCCTGCTCCACCTGCTCCTCCCTCCATTACCGCCTCCGTCCTCAGCGGGCTGTGCACGCACCCCATTAGTGTGTGGGTGACGGCAATGCCCGGGCAAATGGATGCTCAGAAGGGGCCGGGCTGTGATGGGACAGCTCGCAGCCTGGCCCCTCCTGAGCGTCCCACCTGTTGGTTTGTTTCCCTCCTCCCCATCACTCACGCACCGACTCCCTCCCGCTCCGCCTGCCCCTCCTGCCGCCTCCCCCGCTCCGCCTCTGTCAGCACGCTCTCGAGCAGCCTGTGCGCCTCACCACTCACGCACCAACTCCCTCCTGCCCTTCCTACCCTTCCTGCCTTTCCTGCCCCTCCCGCCACAGCTCCCTCCCCCTCTCCACCTCTGCCAGCACTCTCTTGAGCAGCCTGTGCGCCCCATCAGGTGTGTGGGAGATAGGCGAGATGCATCAGGAGAGCAGAAGGTGTGTGTGAAGCCAATCCAATGTACGCCCGACCCTCCTGCCACAGCTCCCTCCCCCTCTCCGCTTCTGCCAGCACGCTCTTGAGCAGCCTGTGCATCCCATGGGTGTGCGTACAGCCCCTGCGCTTTCTTCCCACCACTCACGCACCAACTGCCTCCTTCCCCTCCAACCCCTCCCCCTCCTGCCCCGCCTGCCTCTCCTGCCACAGCTCCCTCCCCCTCTCTGCCTCCTCCAACACGCTCTTGAGCAGCCTGTGCGCGCCACTTGTGTACCAGTGAGGGCAATTCACGCACACCACTCACACACCAACTGCCTCCAGCACTTCCTTCCCTTCCCTCCCCTCCTGCCACAGCTGCCTTCCCCACTCCGCCTCCGCCAGAATGCTCTTGAGTAACCTGTGCGCCACCCCACTCACGCACCACCTCCCTCCTGCCCTTCCCTCACCTCGCGCCATAACTCCCTCCCCCTCCCTGCCTCCGCCAGCACGCTCTTGAGCAGCCTGTGCGCCCCATTGTCGTCCAGAATGGCCACGGCACTCACTTTACACCGAGGGCGGTTTAGCGCCTGTCAGGGGAGGTGGGAATGGGGGGGGTGTTGCAAGGATAAAGGGTGAGGAGTGGGTGAGGGCACTGCCATGCAAGGCAAGGCAAGCGCTGTCCCATTGTCGTCCAGAATGGCCACAGCACTCACACGGCAGTGCAACGCGTGCGGTTCAAGGCCTGGCAGGGGAGGGATGTGAGGTTAGCAGTGGTAGGTGTGGTGCGGGTAAGGCCAATGGCCTTGCAGAAAGGTGGTTACTTCTGAGGCGCCTCATAAGTAGACAGCGCAGGCAGGGGGAGGAGACATGGAGCTGCTTTTTACAATGCAAGGAAAGGAGGTCCGGAGCGGGTGCGGGCAATGCGTCAGTGCTGCCCTTTGAAGCCTGAGTGGGAGGGAGGGAGGCCACCAAGTGAGGTAACCAAGAGAGGTTACCGTTGCTTATAGACAAAGAGAAACCACCTTAACTGTGATAGCCTGCACTACCAACCTTGGCCAGGCGGTGCCGAAGCCACAACCACAGGAATGCTGTGCGCATCACCTCTCACGCATGCACCCCCTCCCCTCTCTCCCTCCCCCATTCCTCATCTCAACATGTGTTACCTCATAGCATCAACCACCACATGTAACACCAGCCCTCACCTTGGCGAGGCGGCGTCTGGAGAGAGCCATGACCGCGGGAATGGCGCGAGCATCGTTACCCCTTCCACGTGCAATTTTCCGTGTGGTACCTGATTGCACCAACCAGCACCGCGCCACACCCTCTAGGCACCTTAATTGGCACTCACCTTGGCAAGGCGGTGTCGGGAGAGAGCCACGACCGAATGCTGCGTGCATCACCCCTCATGCATGCACTCCCCCTGTTCCCCACCTTAACCTAAACTTGGAGTCACCTCAGCCTGCACTCACCTTGGCGAGACGGCGTCTGGAGAGGGCCACAACCACGGGAATGCTGCGAGCAGCGGCATCTGATAGGATGGATTCAAGGGCCGCGTGAAGACCGCCTGCGACAGAGGGCGGGGCGAGGGAGAAGGGGAGGGGAGGAAAGATGGAGCGTTTGGAATGCTGCGTGTGGCGGCGTCTGATAGGATGGATGTGAGGGCCGCATCAAGACCGCCTATGGGACAGGGCAGGGGCGTGGATGGGTAGGGGTGAGGTGGGATGGGGTGGGGTGGGGTGGGATGGTGGGGTGGGATGGTGGGGTGGGATGGTGGGGTGGGATGGTGGGGTGGGATGGTGGGGTGGGATGGTGGGGTGGGATGGTGGTTGGGATGGGTGGATAGGGTATGGGTGAGGTGGGATTACTGCGCGTGGCCGCGTCATGTCCGCCTAGTGGATGGTGGCATGGAAGACATGGTGGGGAGGGATGGAGGGGCGGGTGCGGTTGGATGGATGGGGTTATCAGTTAGAGCTGGGAATGGTGCGTGATAAGATGGATGAGGGCCGCGTCAAGACCACTAGGGGCGAGGACGGAAGGGGAGAGGACGGAAGGGGAGAGGACGGAAGGGGAGAGGACGGAAGGGGAGAGGACGGAAGGGGAGAGGACGGAAGGGGAGAGGACGGAAGGGGAGAGGACGGAAGGGGAGAGGACGGAAGGGGTGAGGGAGGAGGATAGGCAACTGCTAGGATGGATCTGAGGGTTGTGTGAGGATTGCCTGGGGGTACTTTTTTAGAATTCTTAAAAAACACATTGTGCTAGGGTGGGCGTGAGGGCAGATGTCAAGACAGGCTGGGGAGCAGAGTGGAGAAGGGGTTTGGAGCAGGTGTATATGGGTGGTTTGAATTGAACGATGATTGCAGCGTGCGCGAAAACGATTGCCGAGTCAGTTTTGAAATTCAACATGTGTAGCGTGAGAACAATTCTTGAAATTTCCCTCTGCCGCTCGCTATCCCTCTGCCTCTCCCTTTCCCTCTGCCACTCCCTATCCCTCTGCCTCTCCCTTTCCCTCTGCCGCTCCCCTTCCTTCTGCTTCTCCCTAACGGCCATACCATCCCTTACCCCGTTCCCCACCTCCCGTCATCCCCTGTCCTCCCCCCCTCACCTGCCCCAGGCATCTCCTCCACGTTAGGCGCCAGAACCACACACCTGGCCCTCCCACTGCGCACCGCCTGCCCCACCTCCTTCAACCCTGCCAGCACCCGCCGCCGCATTGCACCCTGCACGCGGGCATGCAAAATCAAGGGGGAATCTCATTCACCCTTGCACTATCCGCCCCTCCTCCTTCACCCCTGCCGGCACACGCTGCCCCATTGCACCCTGTGCGTGGGGTTGGATTGGGGAGGGGAGAGAGAAGGAGAAATTTTGTTCAGCTTCGCACCGCCTGCCCCACCTCCTTCAGCCCTCTCAGCACACGCCGCCTCATCGCTCCCTGCTATCGTGCAGGTGTGGGGGGAGGGGGATGAGCAGGGGGAAGTGGGACGAGGAGGAGGCAGGGAGATGGGGAGGGGGGAGGGGGATGGGAGGGGGGAGGGGGATGGAAGGATCATCTTCAGCCCCATACAGCCTGCCGCACCTCCTTCAACCCCGCCAGCACACAGCGCCTCATCACTCCCTATGCATGGGGGGTTAAATGGGCGGTGGGGGTGGCGGAAGGGAGAAAGAAAACCTCTTTCAGCACAACACCGCCTGCCCCACCTCCTTCAGCCCCGCCAGCACATGCCGCCTCATCGCACCCTGTGGAGGGGAAAGGGGGACCTCTTTCCCTGTACCCATGCGAGGAAAGTGGGAACGTAAGGGAGGGAAGTAGGGTGAGGAACGTGAGGTGAGAGGGTGGCACTTGACGTGACTGCAAGGGGCGGGTTGGCAAGACGAGGGCTCACCTTGAGGGGGTCATGTAGAAATGCTGTGACATGAAACCTCAGCATGCCCCTTTTCCCCATCCCCATTCCCCCTCCCATGCACATGCCCTCCAGACTCACCTCGAACGGGTCTTTCTGAATTGCCCTGACTTGGAACCGCAGCATGCCCCATTCCTCCCATATCCATTTCCCCCTCCCATGCCCTCCCCCTTTCCCGTATCACCTTGATTGGGTCTTTCTGAAAAGCCCTGACTTGGAATCGCAGCAGCTCCTCCAGCAGCTCTGCCACGACTGCGTTGAGCTCGGCTGTCACCACCTGCTGGGCGTACCTGGGGGGGGGAAAGGAGGGGTACGAGGAGGGGGGAGGAGACATGGGTGGGGAAAGATGGGAATGAGGAGGGGGGAGGGGGCGAGGGAGGAGGGGGGAGGTTGGGAGGGAGGAGAAAGGGGGTATGGTGCAGCAGCCCTGCCAGCAGTGCGGGCACGAGAGCGTTCAGCTCTCGTACCTGAATGTTGTGCAAAGGCGAGGGGGGCGGTGCGTGGGAGAAAGAGAGGGCTATGAAAGAGAGGAGATGCGAGGGTGGGAGGAGGTGGGTGATGTGGAGGAGATGGGTGTAGCAAGGGGTGGGGGGGGAGGTGAAGCTTTGGGGGAAGGCTGTGAACATTTGAGCAGTGATCCAATCAAATTCAGAGGCGCCTCAAAATATGATTCAGGTGAAGCTCGAGGGAACATGCGATCGCCAAGGCAAGGCCGAATGGCTCGATCGAATGGCGAGTGATCGACTCACTGCCTCACTTCCTTCCTCCTCGCCTCACCTTCTGCTTGCCTCACCTGCTGCATGCCTCACCTGCTGCTTGCCTCACCTGCTGCATGCCTCACCTACTGCATGCCTCCATGCCAATGTAAGTGGTCGGCTGCGCTTGCCTTTTCGCCTTGCTGCCTTCTTGCCCTCTCTTCTTTTCCCCTCCCTTCTCTTCCCCTCCCTTATCCTCCCCTCTCTTCTCCTCCCCTCCCTTCACCCTGTCCCCATTATCCTCCCCTCGTTTCTCCTCCCCTCGCTTCTCTCCTCCCTTTCTCCTCCCTCGCCTTCGCCTACCCACTCGTTTCCCACTCACCTCCCTCCCGTCCACTTTTCCGTCCAGACCCTGCCCACCCTCCCTCGCCACCATCCCCTCCTCCCCCCTGCCCTCCCTCGCCACCATCCCCTCCTCCCCCCTGCCCTCCCTCGCCACCATCCCCTCCTCCCCCCTGCCCTCCCTCGCCACCATCCCCTTCTCCCCCCCGCCCTCCATCCCACCCTCCCCTAACCTTTCTCTCCTGTCTCCCCTCTCTGGCCCCTCACTCGCCTCTCCCACCCCCACCACTGTGGCAGCACACCCCTCTTCACGCCTCTCATGCTCCACCCATCCCATGCCTCCTCCATTCCTCCCACCATCACCATGCACCACACGCTCTTCTTCCTCCCCTTCCTCCTCCTCCTCCTCCTCCTCCTCCTCCTCCTCCTCCTCCTCCTCCTCCTCCTCCTCCTCCTCCTCCCCTTCTCCCTCTCCCATTCCCACTCTCTCCCCCGCTTCCTCCCCCAACCTCTCTCGTTCCCTCACCTTCTCTTCCGTTCCCTCCCTCTCCCCCTCCGCCTCCCTATTCTCCCTTCCCCCCCGCCCTCCCTCCTCTTTCTCCCCCTCCACGCGCGCCTGCCTCGCCAGCACCACCATTCGTTTCAGTCGGCTCACTCGCTTCTGCTTCGCTGTCTGCCTCTCCTTCCCCCGCCTCACACCAATGCTCTCCGATGTTGCTGGGTTCACCAGCACCCGACCCCCCTCGAGACCCTTGCGCATGCCCTCCCCCCTTCCCGCGAGCTCCTTTCCCCGCCTCACACCAGCGCTCTCCAACGTTGCTGGGTTCACCAAAGCCTGACCCCCCTCTCGCCCCCCTCCACATCCCCCCCGTTCCCCCAATCGCGCCCCTTCTCTCTCCCCCTCTCGAGCCCCTTGCACGCGCTCTCCCCGTTTCCCTCTCTTCCGCCCGTCCCCACCCCTCCGCCTCCCCTTTCTCCCCTCCTCCGCCCTCCTGCTCCGCTCCCTGCTCCGCCCCCTGCTCCCCTTTCTCCCACCCCTCGCCTCGTTTCCGCCAATCCCAAGCCACGCGCGCCGACATCCTCACGTCCCCCTCCCCTCCCTGAGCCTCCCCTCCCCGCTCCGCCTCCCCTTCCTCCTCCGCGCAGATGCCCGTCACTGCTACCGCCATCTGCGCTCCCCCTCCCACTGGCACGCAAGCCAAATTTCGCGGAATCTCGCAGAGGCGGCGGTAGAGGCGCGCGCGAAACGGGAATGGCGGCGGCGGCGGTGGCAGTGGCGCCGGCGGGGGGGACGGCGGCGGTGGCGGCGGTAAGGAAGTGATCCAGGCGGAGCGCGACCGGCGCGGGCTTCCACCGCCGTTTCGCACCACCCCTACCGCCGCCGCTCCGGCCTGTGCTGCTCGCAGCGACGCTGCTGTTTCCGTCATGGCTGCCGTCGCCGCCGTCGCCGCCGCTGACTCGGCCGCTGCCACCGCCGGGAGTCCCGCCTGCGCGTCCGTGATTGCCGCATCCGCCATTGCCGCTGCACCTCGCGGCTCTGCTGTCGCGGCTCTCCCCCATCGCCAATCAAATTCTTGTTGCTCTCTCGTAGTTTACTGTCGCTCTCTTGTCGTCTATGGTCACTGTCTGATCTTCTACTGTCAATCTCTCGTCGTTTACTGTCGCTCTCGTCGTCTACGGTCGCTTTTACGCCGTAGAGAGTCACGTTTTTGTCGCCGTTCGTCACTGTCGTGCTTTGACGCGATAGCTATGCAGCCCGCTATTGCCTTCCTCGCTCATTCGCAGCCCAAGCAAAAATTATCGTGTCATGTACAACTGTGGACTCTGTTTGCTCATATGGTGTAACGCGGTTTAGGCAAATCCGAAATAGCCTGCGTTGTTCTGTAATTAACAAGAAATTCAATATAACTATTTTCGTGAACATACTGATTTACCTCGCCGGAAAAGTATTGCCCTCGTTTCTGGCTCACGACTTCGTCAAGCTGAGAGTCACTTCGTCTTGACCGTTTCTCGATATTGGAACGGCTTCCCGCCCTGCAAAAAATCAAAGGGAGATTACTTGCGAGCTTCTGAGCCAATCCCCGAGTGCCATGCATGAGCCAACCAGTCAGATCAGGAACAAGAAGAAACAGGTGATCTGGACCGTTGGCAGTGCCGACCTCGCTCAACTGAAGCACTAGCTTCGGCTCGGCACGGCACCCGAAGTTGGTCCAGGCTTGGAGGGAAAACGGAAATTGATCGACGGAAGGCCCTTGTTCCTGCTGAGTCTGACGTGCAAATTTGTAGTTTTGCTCGTTGAGAGATCTTTGGTTTCTTAGTAAGCTGCTTATTAGCATTGTACAGCCAAGCGACCGCCGAGGTATTTTATATTCTACCTCCTGTCTCCCGCCTTCCTGCGCGTCGTTCGATCAGCCATGGCGTCCGCCGCTGCGTCGTCGTTCTCCGTGAACCGCGCCGTCGCTGCCCCCGTGTGCGGCGGAGAGCACCGTCGCTCAGTGAGAACCTTCTTCATGCCCTCCGATCCTTTTTCGTTTTAGGCGCCTCGGAAACAGGCTTTGTCCTCCGTTAATGTCTCGCCTTGCATTCCCGCTTTCGCCGCTCTCTTGCCGCCGTGCATTTCCCCATTCGTCGCAGGTCCATCTTCTCATTCCAGCCTTCGCCGCTCTCTTGCGGCGAAAACACTTGGCTCGTAGAAGCTTATCGCCAAGGACATTACTTGCGTGCCGTCCTCTTCCTAGAATGTCACCTGGTCGTAGCAGCATTGCCCCTTAAGCGCACACTCAGCTGTCACGCGTTTTTGCTTGTTCGTGCTTCCTCTCGAGCGTAGCGAGTGTTTGCCTCGCCATATTCCTCCACCGTCCCCTACCCATTCCCCAATGCTCTCCACTCGTTCCTCATCTTTCCACCGCTAATCACACTTACCCTTCTTTCCTCTCCCTCTCCCCCACTTCCCCGTCCCCGTTATCTTCCCCCACTCCCCCCTTTTCTCTCCGCCTTTCTTTCCCTTCCCCCCCCGCCGCTCCCGCAGCTCACCGCGTCGCCCCGGGCTTCCCTGCGCCTCTCCGCGCCACTCCGCGGCTCTCCCCTCCCCCTCGCGCCTTCCAAATGCCGCCCGCTCCGCGCGCCCCTTCCGTCGCGGCGACCTACAGTGCGCGCCGCTGCCGCCGCTCCAGCGGCGGTGGCGGACGGCGGGCTGCTGACGCGCGTGGCCGTTGCGGCGTACTCGGCGCTCGTGCCGGCCGGGACGGCCGCTAGCATGGGACTCACGGAGCTTACGGTGAGGCGGAGGGAGGGGGAGTGGAAGGGGAGGGATGGGGAATATGGAGGATGGGGAATGGGGAGTGGATGGGGTGCGGGGATGGGGAAGGGATGGGGGAGGAATGGGGAATGGCCGCTAGCATGGGGCTCACAGCGCTGACTGTGAGGCGCAGAGGCATGGGGGAGAACTGTGAAGGATGGACGGGGGATGTGAGAAGAATGGGGAAAGAATAGGAGAGGGCGGAGAATGGGACTGTGGGGAGGACGCGGGATGGGGGAGCATGGGAATTGTGGGACGATGGGAATGTGGGGACGACGGCGAAGGGATGGTTAATAAGGAATGGCATTTTCGAGAAGATTCAAATGGGGAGGAGATACATAGACCATGCCTTCCCTTGTGCCATTTCTTTATGTCTGTATGTATCTGTGTGCACCTGTGTGCGTGCGCGCGCGCGCGTGCCTGCGCATGCGTGTGTGTGCTCCTGCGTGTGAGCGAATGCGTGTGCGTGCGTGCGGGGCTGTGTGCATGCGTGTGTGCATTTGTGCATGTGTGCGTGCATGCGTACATGTGTGCGTGCGTGCGGGTCTGTGTGCATGTGTGCGTTGCATGAGTGCGTTGCATGTGTGCGTGCATGCGTGCATGTGAACGTGGATGTGTGTATGGGTATGCGTGCATGCACACCCCCCATCAGGTGGTGCTGGCCCTGAGAGAGACCATCATCGCGCTCGCCACTGCCGCCATCTTCTTCAACGCGCCCAAGATCTGCCGCCTCGTCAACTAGTAAGACAACATGCCGCCTTGTAATCTAGTAATCGGAAATGCCCAATACTGTCCAATGCACCATGCCCGATGCCCGATGCTTTCACGCACCGTGCACCATGTGCCTGACCCACAACCCCACTCAATGCCCGTTCGTATGTCTTCTCTTTCCCCATTCCAACATGGCAGCGTGTGGGGCACGCTGATCATGCGCGACGACGAGGTGACGGAGGAGGAGTTTCAGGACAGCATGTTCGGTGCGCTCGTGGGGCCGCTGCAGTTCGTCCTCATCTCCTTCTTCCTCACCCGCCAGTCAGTCGCCTCTTATTCTCCTCCTCCTCACCTCTCACTCTCCTCCTCGCCGCCTCTCACTCTCCTTTTCCCCGCCTCTCACTCTCCTCCCCACTTCTCACTCTCCTCCCCACTCCTCACCCTCCTCCCCATGTCTCACTCTCCTCCCCACCTCTCACTCTCCTCCCCACCTCTCACTCTCTCCTCCCCACCTCTCACTCTCCTCCCCACCTCTCACTCTCCTCCCCACCTCTCACTCTCCTCCCCACCTCTCACTCTCCTCCCCACTTCTCAATCTCCTCCCGCCTTTCGCGCTGCTCCGTCCTCTGCCACTCTCCTTGTCAATCACCCTATCCCTTCTTGTAAGTGCTTTCAGCCTGCACCTGCTGGTGCCACTGCTGAAACTACCAGTGGCAGCGGCAATGGTGGGGAAAATGTGTGGCTTTCCCCTATCCATCCCCCCGCCTGCTACAATCACCGTTTCCCCCCTCTCACCCTGTCCCCCCCACCTGTATTTGCCAGCCTGCGCCTGCTGGTGCCGCTGCTGAAGCTGCCTGTGACAGCAGCAATGGTGGGGAAGGCGCGGCTGGTGGCATGGGTGGCGGCTGCTACGTGGTTCGCGACGGGATGGAAGGACCGCGTCTTGAAGCTCGTGGCTGCTTCTCACCCCGAGGATAAGGTGAGGCGCAGGGGCAAGGCAGGGACGAGGGATGGGGCTTTGGGGTCAAGCTGAGAAGATGGGCTCGGGAAGAGGGACACAGTGGGCTAGTGGCAGCAGTGGCGGCAGCGGTGGCTGCAGCAACGTGGTTTGCGACGGGGTGGAAGGACCGAGTCTTGAAGCTCGTGGCTGCTGCTCACGATGGGGGACAAGGTGAGGGCGAGATGGGGTGTAAGGTCAAGGTGGGCAAGATGGGGGAGATGAGAGGGATAGATGAGGGACAAGGTGCGAACAGTAGCAGCGGTAGCAATGATGGCAGTGGCAGCAGCTACGGGTTTCCTTACGGGGTAGAAGGACGGAGCCATGAAGCTTGTGGCTGCTTCTCACTCCGAGGATAAGGTGAGTGAGGGCGAGATGGGGTTTGGGGCGTTAAGACAAAGTGGAGCATGGGTGGCAAGCTGGACGAAATAGGTGCGGGACAAGGTGGGGCGTGCGTTTGGCCCTCTCCATGCCCCCTCCCTGGCCCCCATGCCCATCATCCTCCATACCTGCTCCATGCTCCCCCATCCCCCACCCGCAGCCGGTTCTGGCGAACGTGAGCAAGCTGCTGACGCTGCTGCTGCGGGTGGCGGCGGTGGGCACGCTGGCAGAGATGATGGGCTTCAGCCTCAAGTCGCTCATCGCTGTGGGAGGAATCTCAGGTGGGTGTTGTGTTGAGAGGCATCTCAAATGGGTGATGTGATGTGAGAGCGTCATGTTTTCTTCCCAAGTCCACATCGCTCCCAATCATTCTACCTGCCACGTCCCAGCAAGTCCGCTCACAACCACCCAGCAGCAGCTGTCGTCCCCCTCTCCCCTCATTCTCTCCTAGTCTCGCACCCCTTGCTTCATCGCTGCTCCTCTCCCATCCCTACTCTCTCTCTCCACGCGAAACCGCCAGCCCGTCCATCTGCCAAACCTCTCCTGCCATAAGTCTGAGCCCACTCAACCTTTCCCCCCTTTTTTCTCTGATTGTCCCCTCCCCCATTAACACCCCCCAGGTGTGGCCATTGCGTTTGCCTCCAAGGAGATAGTGACCGTCTTAATGTCCCCCTAAAAGGCCACTCTTTCCTCTGCTCTCCCACGCGCCCCCACCCCTTCAACACCCTCCCTTTTCCTAAACCCCCCCTTTTTTCCCTAACCTTCCCGTCCCCCATCTCCCCCCACCAGGTGTGGCGATTGGGTTCGCCTCCAAGGAGATAGTGACCAACTTCTTTGGCAGGCTCACCGTCTTATGGTCCTCTGCTCTCCCACGATCTCCTCTCCTTCTCCACGCGCCCCCACCCCTTCAACTCCCACCAGGTGTGGCGATTGGGTTCGCCTCCAAGGAGATAGTGACCGACTTCTTTGGCGGGCTCATCCTGTTGTGTGCCTATTCAAACGCCACTCTCCCTTTTCACCTATCCCACCCTCCCCCCTCCCTCCCTCCCTCCCTCCCTCCCTCCCTCCCTCCCTCCCTCCCTCCCTCCCTCCCTCCCTCCCTCCCTCCCTCCCTCCCTCCCTCCCTCCCTCCCTCCCTCCCTCCCTCCCTCCCTCCCTACCTACCTCCCTCCCTCCCTCCCTCCCTCCCTACCTCCCTCCCTACCTCCCTCCCTCCCTCCCTCCCTCCCTCCCTCCCTCCCTCCCTACCTCCCTCCCTCCCTCCCTCCCTCCCTCCCTCCCTCCCTCCCTCCCTCCCTCCCTCCCTCCCTCCCTCCCTCCCTCCTCCCTCCTCCCTCCCTCCCTCCCTCCCTCCCTACCTCCCTCCCTCCCTCCCTCCCTCCCTCCCTCCCTCCCTCCCTCCCTCCCTCCCTCCCTCCCTCCCTCCCTCCCTCCCTCCCTCCCTCCCTCCCTCCCTCCCTCGCCACAATCTTCCCCAGGTGTGGCCATCGGGTTTGCGTCCAAGGAGATAGTGACCAACTTCTTCGGCGGGCTCATCCTGTTGTGTGCCCACTCAAATGCCACTCTCCCTTTTCACCTTTCCCACCCTTCCCCTCCCTCCCTCACCACAAACTTTCCCAGGTGTGGCGATTGGGTTCGCGTCCAAGGAGATAGTGACCAACTTCTTTGGCGGGCTCATCCTGTTCCTGACGCAGCCGTTTGTGGTGGGCGACAAGATCAAGGCGGGCAGCGTGACGGGGCGTGTGAGAGAGATCGGCTTCCTGCAGACCAAGCTCGAGGCCGACGACAACTCGCCCATCGTCGTGCCCAACTACATCTTCAACACCGCTGTGAGTTGCCTGACAACTTCTTTTAGGCAGTTGAAAGTGAATGTCAATTCGCCATCGTCGTGCCCAACTACATCTTCAACACCGCTGTCAGTACTCGTCCTTGTTCTCTCTGCCTAGCTCTCACTGCTCTCCCCTTACTACTGCCCAACCACATCTTCAACACCGCTGTAAGCACCGGTTGCCCTCCCATCCCTGCTGCTCCCCTCTTTGTTGTCGCTGCTGCTCCCCACCCTCTGTCCCTGCCTCTCCTCTCTGTCCAACTACATCTTCAACACCGCTGTCAGTACTCGTCCTTGTTCTCTCTGCCTAGCTCTCACTGCTCTCCCCTTACTGCCCAACCACATCTTCAACACCGCTGTAAGCACCGGTTGCCCTCCCATCCCTGCTGCTCCCCTCTTTGTTGTCGCTGCTGCTCCCCACCCTCTGTCCCTGCCTCTCCTCTCTGCCCAACTACATCTTCAACACCGCTGTGAGTTCTCTCCCTGCCTCTCTTCCTTCCTGGCCCTGGTGCTCCCCTCCCCTCTCTGCCGTCTCTGCCGCTCTCCTCACTGCCACCCATACCAATCCTTTTCAATCCCTCTGTCCCCCTCTCCACCACTCAGGTGGTGACAAACTACTCGCGCGCGGGATGTCTCGCATTGGAGGCCACGTTTGTGCTGCGCAACGAGGACATCATCCGCATCCGCCCCATCACAGAGAAGCTCACGGCGTACCTGCGCGCGCACCCGCTGGTGGACGTCACCAAGGGCCCCACGCTCGGGTACCTCAAGAAGCTCTCCGGCACAGGGCTGGAGGTCGGCATCATTGCCTACGTGCAGGACATGGTGCGTGGGAGAGGGGTATGGTGTGTTGTGAGTCAACGAAGGAATCAACGCAAGTCAACTCGAAAGGAAGCTGGCAGGCAGGCACGGGGCCGAAATGGGGGGTAGAGGAGCGAGGGGGGAAATGGGCTGAAATATCCTCCATCCCATGGAAGCTCACACCCTCCCTCCTAACCCCTCTCCACCCCTCTCCTTTCACACCTGCACAGGAGGACGATGAGTACCTGGCGGTGCAGCAGGAGATTCTGGAGCAGAGTGTGGAGATCATCGTGGAGGAAGGGGCCTACCTCGGGGAGAGCGCGCCCTTTGAGCCCTCCGTCTCCCTCGCCGCCTAGCCGCCCCTTCGCCAGGTGTGTGTGTGTGTGTGTGTGTGTGTGTGTGTGCGTGCATGCGTGCGTGCGTGCGTGCGTGCGTGCGTGCGTGCGTGCGTGCGTGCGTGCGTGCGTGCGTGCGTGCGTGCGTGCGTGTGTGTGTGTGTTTTTGCGCGCGCGTGTTTGTGTGCGTGCGTGTTTGTGTGCGTGCGTGCGTGTGTGTGTGCGTGCGTGTTTGTGTGTGTGTTTTTGCGCGCGCGTGTTTGTGTGCGTGCGTGCGTGCGTGCGTGCGTGCGTGCGTGTGTGTGTGTGCGTGCGTGCGTGCGTGTGTGTGTGTGTCTGTGTGTGTGTTTTTGTGCGCGCGCGTGTTTGTGTGCATGCGTGCGTGTGTGTGTTTGTGCGCGCGCGTGTTTGTGTGCGTGTGTGTGTTTGTGCGTGCGTGTGCGTGCGTGTGCGTGCGTGTGCGTGCGTGCGTGTGCGTGCGTGCGTGTGTGTGTGTGTGTGGACATCTCTTTTAGGCGCCTACTTTGGGGAGAGTGCATGTCCCTCTAGCAGTTTCTTCTTACGGTGGAATTCCCTGTAAACGCCTGCAATAACCGGGATTAGTGTGTGTGTCTCTCTCTCTCTTCCGTTGTCGCTGAGGCACCTCCAAAAGATACCACGCCCTTTCAGCCATCCGTTGCGCTCGCCGCCACTGCCTAGCCACCACCTTGCCACCTCCAAATATCCGCCTTTCCCTTTCCTCACGCCATGTCACTCCCACCGCTGTCTCTGCCATGCAGGAAACGAGGCCGGCTGCAAAGAGGCCCACGCAACAACGCTACAGCCGAGAATTTCTCCAGTCAAACGCCACTGTCTTGCAACAGAGGGGTTGTCCCAGTCACCCTCACCACCTCCTCTCCCACTGCCTAAATCACCCCCACCGCCACCTCCTCCATCCCGGCCACCACTCAACCATGCCCAGCCAAACCCTGCTACAGTCAGATGTGAAGGAGTCCTGCAAAACGGCAGAAACTCCCACAACCCAATGCGAGCTGTTTGGGCTGTTCCGATTAGTGTATGAAACTTTAGATATACTACACCAGCTAGGTTCGTACGCGCTAGCGCGTGATGGAAAGCTTGTCATGGTTGATCCTGGTTGGAAAGTCAGCTTATAGCGTTTGTGGGCAATTGTATTGGGGTTATTTCCAAAGTATGCATAGAAATTGGTTCAATGAGATTGTTTCTTGATATTTTCAGACAAATCACAAAGTTTGAAGCAGCCAAAATTGCATCAGGCCACCACCCTGTTGGGTTGGGACAGGACATACACGACCCGAATTCTGCAAGTGAGAACTGGGAGGGCAACAGTGGAGTGTGAGATGGTGGCTCGATAGCTATCGCATCAAAACGACAGACAGTCGATAGAGAACGACGGATAGCGACGAAACCGCGACTGTAGACGGCGAAAAAGCGACAGTAGGCGACGAGAAAGAGAGAAGAATAAATTCGCGATGGCGGAAAGCCACGAAAGCCGAGGCGCGAGGAGTAGCAGCAATGGCGGGTGGGGAAAGCACGCGCGCGCAGGCGGGGCTCCCGGCGGCGGCAGCGGCGGTGGCGGCGGTGGCGGCGGCGGAAGAAGCAGCGTCGCTGCGAGCAGCACAGGCGGAAGCGGCGGCGGCGGCGGAGGCGGCGTGAAGAGGCGGTGGAAGCCCGCGCCGGCCGCGCTTCGCCTCGATCATTTCCTCGCCGCCGCCACCGCCGCCACCCCCGCCGTCACCGCTTCCATTGCCAACCCCTCTGCGCGCGAATCCGCGGAAATTGGCCCGCGCGCCAGTGGGATGGGGAGCGCAGATGGGGGTATAAGTGAAGCGCGGCCTCGCGGTTGGGGAAGTGGAGGCGGAGCGGGGAGGGTAGGCGCAGGGAGGGGAGGGGGAAGTGAGGATGCTGGCGCGCGTGGCTTGGGTTTGGCGGAAACGAGGCAAGGGGTGGGAGAAGGGGGAGCAGGGGGCGGAGCAGGAGGGCGGCGGAGGGGAGAAGGGGCAGGAGGAGGGGTGGGGACGGGCGGGAGAGAGGGAAAAGGGGAGAGCGCGCGCAAGGAGCTCGAGACGGGGAGAGAGAAGGGGCGTGGAAGGGGGCGCGGGGGGGAGCGCGGAGGGGGGCGAGAGGGGGAGAGGGTGCGGGTGAACCCTGCAACGTCGGAGAGCATTGGTGTGAGGCGGGGGAAGGAGAGGCAGACACCGAAGCAGAAGCGAGTGAGCCGACTGAAGCGGATGGTGGTGCTGGCGAGGCAGGCACGGGGGGAGGGGGGGATGGGGGATGGGGAGACGCGGGATGGGGAGAAGGGGGGTGGGGAGGGGGAGTGGGAGGGGGAGGGAACAGAAGAGGACTTGACGGAAGAGGAGGGGTTGGGGGAGGGAGAGGGGGAGGGGAAGGGAGAGGGGGAAGGGGAGGGAGAGGGGGAGGGGGAGGGGGAGGAGGAGGAGGAGGAAGAAGAGGAAGAAGAAGGGCCTGTGGCTCGTGGAGGGGAAGGGAGGAGTGGGGGTGGAGGGACGTATGGCGATGGTGGGGGGTATGGAGGAGGCATGGGATGGGTGGAGCATGAGAGGCGTTCAGGGGGTTGTGCTGCTGGCACAGTTGTTGGGGTGGGAGAGCCAAGAGTAGGGTCAGAGAGGGGAGAGGGGAGGGAGGGGTCAGCGAGGGAGGAGGCGAGGGGGGGTGAAGAGAGGGGAGAGGGTAGGGAGGGGTCAGAGAAGGGTGAGATGGAGGGGAGGGGGGAGGAGAGAAGGCCGAGAGGAGAGATGGAGGCGGAGTGCAGGGGAGAGGTGAGGGAGGATGGTCAGGGAGTGGAGGGGAGAGTGGAGGAGAGGCAGGTGGATGGAGAACGATTTGGTAGGCGAAGGCGAGGGAGGAGAAAGGGAGGAGCGAAAGGGCGAGGGAGAGAGCAGGGATGGGAGGTGAAGATAGGGGAGGAGAAGGAAGAGGAGGTGAAGGGAGAGGAGGAGAAGGGAGAGGAGGAGAAGGGAGAGGAGGAGAAGGGAGGGAAAGATAAGAAAGGGCAAGAAAGCAGCACGGGGAAAGGGCAAGCTCAGCCGACCACATACATTGGCGTGGACGCATGCAGCAGGTGAGGCATGCAGCAGGTGAGGCATGCAGCAGGTGAGGCATGCAGCAGGTGAGGCATGCAGCAGGTGAGGCACTGAGGCGACCACTTGCCACCAAACACCACCGCTGTGTGCCATGCTGTGCGCCGTGCGCCTTGCCTTGGCGAGAGCGCTGCCTCGAGCCTTCACCAGCGACAAATTTTGAGGCTCCTCAAGAGAGATCACATCTTTTAGGTGCCTCAAGAGTTGCCCTGGCTATCTCATTTCACTTCCTCCTAATCCTTCACCTGCCCAACACCCCTTGCTGCACCCTTGACCTCCCTCACACCCACCCACGTCATCTCCTTCCTCCCACTCACTGCTCCACATGCCTCCAGATCCTCCACTCCAGGTTCCGCCAGCAGGTGGCAACCCCCGAGCTCGAAGCACTGTGCACACACGCACGCACGCGCGCGCGCGCGCGCGCACACACACACACACACACAGACGCACGCACGCAGGCACTGCTGGCACAGCACTTCCCTCCTCTCCCCCTCTCCTCCATCTCCCCTTCCCCCCACAGGTACGCCCAGCAGGTGGTCACCCCCGATCATGGTGGTAGCTGCGCTGCTGGTCCACACCCCCTTCCCTTCCTCGCCTTAACACTCCCTGCCCTGTTCCCCCCCCCACCCCAGGTACGCCCACCAGGTAGTCACTTGGGAGCTTAACGCGCCAGTGGCTGTGCTGCTGGCTCACTCCCCCTTCCTCCCTCTCTCCTCCCTGCTCTCTCTCTCCCCCGCCTCCCACAACCCAGGTACGCCCAGCAGGTCGTTACACCGGAGCTCAACGCGCTCGTGGCTGAGCTGCTGCGATTCCACTGCTGGTCAACCAACCCACTGCCCCCCCTTTCCCTCGTGCCCCCAACCCCTGCCCTCTCCCGCTCCCCCCCTCCAGGTACGCCCAGCAGGTGGTCACCCCCGAGCTCAACGCGCTCGTGGCTGAGCTGCTGGGGGAGCTGCTGCGATTCCAAGTCAGGGCTTTTCAGAAGGACCCCATTAAGGTGAGCCTGGGGGGGGAATGGGTATGGCTTTTGAGTCGACGCGAGCAAGACCGAGGGGGGCTGAAGGAGATCCCGTCATTTTTCTCCCCCACCCTGGTTCCACTCATCCCCCCCATGCACAGGGAGCAATGAGGCGGCGCGTGCTAGCAGGGCTGAAGGAGGTGAAGCAGGCGGTGCAAGGCTGAAAACAAGATTCTCTGTCCTTCCCTTTCCACCCATTTCCCCACTGAAGATTTCCCCTCCGCCCTCCCCATCCCCCATGCACAGGGAGCGATGAGGCGGCGGGTGCTGGCAGGGCTGAAGGAGGTGGGGCAGGCGGTGCGCAGTGGGAGGACCAAGTGTGTGGTGCTGGCGCCTAACGTGGAGGAGGTGCCTGGGGCAGGTGAGGGAGGGAGGGGTGTGATGATAGGTGAAGGAAGGGGTAAGGGTTGTCTTGGTTCTTAGGTTGTGACATGGGCAAATGACGAGTCCAGTTTCACTCGACTCATTTTGACGAGTTTTTTATAACCAGCAAGTCAAGTGAAAAGTGAAACTTGCTGAGAACTTTTATCCACTCAGGCCCGACTCGTAACTCTAAACCCTAAACTCGTAAGAGTGACAAAAAACTAAAGCGGGTCGAGCAAAACTCGGTTCAAAGCATCCTGCCTGCCACCCATAATAGTGCTAAATCTGTGCGGATCAAGTGGTGAATTAACAACATCTCTAATCTGGATTCTTCCTTTTTCTTTCTTTCTTTCTTTCTTTCTTTCTTTCTTTCTTTTCTTTTTAAGTTTGAGCCCTCCACTGGTAAGCCAAATGCCGCGCGAGTTTCTTCAAACTCAACTCAGCTCGTCAAGTTTTTTTAACTTAGATAAAAGCTCGTAAAACAAGTCGAGGCTTTCGAGTTCCTAAAACGAGTCGAGTCAAAACTCGCTCTATATCGTGTGCATGCGCATGCGGTAGTTGCGCCTAAATGTGGAAGGTGTATACAGCAGGTTGAAAAGGGTGGGGGGGTTATGGTGCTGGGTAGGTGAGGATGGATGGGGGAGTGATGACGGTGAATGGTGCATGGGTACTGCTGGGAGGGCCAAGTGTGTGGTGCTGGCGCCTAATGTTGAGGAGGTCATTTGGGCAGGTAAAGGGCGGGTGGGAGGAGCACCTCCCTCCGCCCTCTCACCTCCTTCCGCCCTCTCACCTCCTTCCGCCCTCTCACCTCCCTCCGCCCTCTCACCTCCCTCCGCCCTCTCACCTCCCTCCGCCCGCTCACCTCCTTCCGCCCTCTCACCTCCCTCCGCCCTCTCACCTCCTTCCGCCCTCTCACCTCCTTCCGCCCTCTCACCTCCCTCCGCCCTCTCACCTCCCCCGCCCTCTCACCTCCCCCGCCCTCTCACCTCCTCCCGCCCTCTCACCTCCCCCGCCCTCTCACCTCCTCCCGCCCTCTCACCTCCCCCGCCCTCTCACCTCCTCCCGCCCTCTCACCTCCCCCGCCCTCTCACCTCCTCCCGCCCTCTCACCTCCCCCGCCCTCTCACCTCCTCCCGCCCTCTCACCTCCCCCGCCCTCTCACCTCCTCCCGCCCTCTCACCTCCCTCCGCCCTCTCACCTCCCCCGCCCTCTCACCTCCCCCGCCCTCTCACCTCCTCCCGCCCTCTCACCTCCCCCGCCCTCTCACCTCCTCCCGCCCTCTCACCTCCCCCGCCCTCTCACCTCCTCCCGCCCTCTCACCTCCCCCGCCCTCTCACCTCCTCCCGCCCTCTCACCTCCCCCGCCCTCTCACCTCCTCCCGCCCTCTCACCTCCCTCCGCCCTCTCACCTCCCCCGCCCTCTCACCTCCCCCGCCCTCTCACCTCCTCCCGCCCTCTCACCTCCCCCGCCCTCTCACCTCCTCCCGCCCTCTCACCTCCCCCGCCCTCTCACCTCCCCCGCCCTCTCACCTCCTCCCGCCCTCTCACCTCCCTCCGCCCTCTCACATCCCCCGCCCTCTCACCTCCCCCGCCCTCTCACCTCCTCCCGCCCTCTCACCTCCCCCGCCCTCTCACCTCCTCCCGCCCTCTCACCTCCCCCGCCCTCTCACCTCCTCCCGCCCTCTCACCTCCCTCCGCCCTCTCACCTCCCCCGCCCTCTCACCTCCCCCGCCCTCTCACCTCCTCCCGCCCTCTCACCTCCCCCGCCCTCTCACCTCCTCCCGCCCTCTCACCTCCCCCGCCCTCTCACCTCCTCCCGCCCTCTCACCTCCCCCGACACACACCAGGCGGTCTTGACGCGGCCCTCTCGTCCATCCTATCAGATGCCGCCACGCGCTGCATCCCCGTGGTTGTGGCTCTCTCCCGGCGCCGCCTCGCCAAGGCGAGTAAAGGCTGAGGTGGGGTGTTCAGGTGTCGAATGTGGGGGGAGTGCTTGCGTGAGGGGATTGCACAGCAGCATTCCCGTGGTCGTGGCTCTATCCTGGCGCCGCCCTGCCAAGGTGAGTAAAGGCTGAGGTGACTCCAGGTTAAGGTGGGGAACAGGGGGAATGCATCCATGAGGGGTGATGGACGCAGCATCCCCGTGGTTGTGGCGCTCTCTCGGTGCTGCCCCGCCAAGGTGAGTGCAGGCTACTACAGTTGAGGTGGTTTCTCTTCGGTTATTAACTGGGGTAACCTCACGTGGTAACCTCACATGGTAACCTCACGTGGTAACCTCACTTGGTAACCTCACATAGTGTTCTCCCTCCTTCAATCGCCTGCGATGCCGCATTGCTCCTCACCTCACCCCGTCCTCACCGCTTTCCACTGCTTTGCGTTGCCCTCACCTGCTCCTCAACTCCGCGCCTTGCGTCTTGAAAAGCAACGCCAAGTCTCATGCCAGGCCTTGAACCCCTCGCGCTGCCGGGTGAGTGCCGTGGCCATTCATGACTGTGCTTGCAGTGCTATGCCCTAACCCACTTCTCGCCTCTTGCTTGCACTGCGTTGCTCTCACCCTCACGCCTCTCTTGAAAACCTTACGTTGCTTTTTTTCAGGTGCTGAATCGCCCGCGCTGTCGAGTGAGTGCCGTGGCCATTCTGGACGACAATGGCGCGCACAGGCTGCTCAAGAGCGTGCTGGCGGAGGCAGAGAGGGGGAGGGAGCTGTGGCGGGAGGGTAAAAAGGGACAGGAGGAGCAGGAAGTGCAGGAGGCAGTTGGTGCGTGATTGGTGTGCGTGTATTGCCCTTGCCCACACAATGATGGCCATTCCGGACGACAATGGGATGCACAGGCTGCTCAAGAGCGTGCTGGCGGAGGCAGAGAGGGGGAGGCAGCTGTGGCGGGAGGGGAAAGAGGGACAGGAGGGGCAGGAAACGCAGGAGGCAGTTGGTGCGTGAGTGGTGTGCGTGTGTTGCCCTCACTCAGGAAATGATGGACAATGGGGCGCACAGGCTGCTCAAGAGCGTGCTGGGGGAGGCAGAGAGGGGGAGGCAGCTGTGGCGGGAGGGGGAGGAAGGTCTGGAGGCAGATGGTGCGTGATTCCTGGGCAGGGCAAAAAGAATCAAACAAGGAGATGGTCAGAAAGGGTTGGGCTGTGCGATTTGCTTGCATTGACCTCACCCACATACTGACTGAGTTCACAGCCTGCTGATGAGCGCTCTGGCAGAGGCAGTTATGGCAGGAGGGGAAGGTGGAGCAGGGGAGACAGCCACGGCTGGAGGGGCAGGCGGAGTGTGCTTGCATTGGGGGAGGAGAGGGAAGGGAGAAAGGAACTCTGGACCTTGGCGTGCACACGGTCTTGGTCCCATCCCGCCAGCTTAGCTAAGCCGCCCTCCCCTCTAGTGAGCTGGGGAGGAGGGGAAGGGAGCAGACAGGAGACTCTGGACCCTGGCCACTCCCAAGCACGCACCTACTACCAGCCAAGGCGAGGCTCAGCCGCCCTCCCTTCATGTGAGCTCGGGAGGTGGGTAAAAGATGGCAGGAACTATGGACCCTGCCTGAAACACACGCACGCACCTCCTCCCATACCACCAGCCAAGGCGCAGCCCCTTCCACTCTGGCGCAACAACCTTCCTCTCTGCAAGTTGTGATGTGGTGAAACGGACAGGCACCCAGGGGCACGCCGTGCGGATTCTGAGAATTTTCTTGTGACGGGATGAGAAGCGGGTGGGGGGAAACAATGACGGTTACTTTGGTCCTGCCCGCCCACGCGCATGCACCTACTCCCATCCCACCAGCCAAGACAAGCCGCCCTATACTGTGTCAGCTGCTACCCTCCCCCCTCATCACGGCTGCGGTGCCGAAACAGGTGCCAGACTGCCAGTGTGTGCGGCATGTCAAGCAAGCTCCTGCAGGGGACTCCCATCCTACCGGTACCGTCCAAGCCAAGCGGCCTTTCTCGTGTCAGCTGCTACTCTCCCCCCTCATCACATCAGCGGTGCTGATGCAGGTGCCAGGGTGTGCAAGTGTGAAGCAAGCGCATGCATGGCACTCTCCCATCCTACAAGTACCAGCCAAGCCAAGCGCCCTTTCTCGTGTGAGCTGCTACCCTCCCCCTTCATCGTGGCAGCGGTGCTGAAGCAGGTGCCAGACTTGCCTGTGTGTGCGTGCGGCATGTCAGTCAAGCGCATGCATGTACATACTGACTGTTTTCAGAAGTACAGTACTGTTACTGTATTCAAGGTTACCACTTTGTCAACAACAGTTGAGCATGCTTTTGGGTAAGTTTCCTGAAGGGTTTGCTGTAGCAAACCTTGTAGATCTACTAGACTACTACCAACCAGCACTACTTAGTTCCTCCGAAGGATTTTCCCATGACATGTTGCGAAGCGCCTCCGATAAACAACCCCTAATTGTGTAGTCAACAACAGGTATAATTACCTCGGCAGTACGGGCAAGGGCATTATAATGATCTCAGAAAAAGAAGGGGGTGCTCGCTCTCACTGCTCACGAAAGAGGAACGCCTGTATGAAGAACCCAGGTCCACACGCCACCCAGGGCTGTTCAAATTTGATAGGAGAAAAGGGGAATGAAAGAGAGGAATGGGAACGGTCTACTATACTCTGTACCGGTACGAACCATCTTATAAAAATCAGCTCCCTAAAAGAATTTGTTGTTTCATGTTAGTCTAATGTGTCTGTACCGGTACATCGTCGTCACAATGCTGAGCTATAAAGACGCCACGCCACCATAGAACTGAGTTCCACAGGTCATGACCACACTCATCATTATTCTCCACTCCACGCCCTCTTCCTTTTTCCCTTCCCTTAACCACCCCTCTCCTCTTATCCCCCCCTTGCTTTCCCCATCAAACGAGTTGTCAATGGCACTGTCAACCTTCCTACCTAACCATATGGCATTGGGGTGACAATTGCGCAGCAGCGGAAGAGGGGCACTTGAAGGAATGGGGGTGATGGGGGATGGAGCATGGGGAGGGATGGGGGTGGTGGGGGTGGGAGTATGGGGAGGGTGGTGAAGGTTGGAGCGTGGGGAAGGATGGCGGTGTGGAGGGTGGAGCATGGAAAAGGGATGGTGAGGTCAACAATTTGAGCGGCGGCATGGCTTTGGGGTCAAAATTGCACGGCAGCTGAAAGGGAGGTGGCATGAAGGGATGGGGGTGGTGGAGGGTGGAGTGCGAGGAGGGTGCAGCATGGTAAGAACATTAATAAAAAGCTCAAGAACAGTCCATGTTATGTCTTGGATGTGAAAAAACAGTCACAGGAAACAATTACCTCCTGGACTGGACTCTACTTCACGTTCCAATCCAAAAGCAGCTTTTGAGGATTCTCAATCCAGCAACGCCCTGTGGGCCAATCACACACAAAGAGTTTGGACTTGACTCGAAATTGCTTGCAAGCATATGGGATACATTGCCTTATGATGAGAGGGATGCGCACGCATGACAACCGTGACGGAGACAGACAAGGGGAACTGCAGCAGCTTCAGTCAAATCGAAACGCACCCATCAAAATCACATCTGTCACACACACACACACACACACACACACACACACACACACACACACCCACACACACACACACACAAACACACACACACACACACACACACACATGCAACACATTGTCCCTCAATGTGAGGGATAAGTTACTATTCACCTCCTCTTCAATGTGACAAGGGTATGTGTGCCAAGCAGCAGTGGTGACGACGGGGGCTGCAGCAGCCAAAGGGAGGGCAGGGAGGGAGCAAGGGGACGGAGCGAGCGGAGGGAGAAAGGGGGGGGGTTGAGGCACAGAAAGGTTGGGAGGAGCACTGGGGAGCTGGAAGGAGCTGTTGAAAATTCTTAGTAGCAGCCTGCAGACTCATCTCTCAGGCACAATCACCACGTTGTTCCTTGAGAACGGGCATGGGAGTGAGGGATGGCAGCGAAATGGGCGGCAGCAGCTTTTGGGACGTCTCAAAAGGGGCTGTTGAAGAAGTTCAGTAGCAGCCAGCAGATTTATCTGTCAGGTGCAATCGCTACGTTGCCTCTATATAAGGGTCGTGGGGCTGGAGTAAGGGATGGCAGCGAGATGGGCTGCAGGAGCCAATGGGAGAGCATGGATGGAGTGAGGGGATGGGAAGAGGGGGAGCGAGAAGAGAAAGCGAGGCAACAGAAAGGTTGGGAGGAGCACATTTGTTGTAACAACCTGCAGATTCATCTCTCAGGCACAATCACTACGCTGTCTCTTGAGAAGGGGCATAGGTTGGAGTAAGGGATGGCAGCAAGATGGGCTGCAGGAGCCAATGGGAGAGCATGGATGGAGTGAGGGGATGGGAGGGGATGGGAGGGGATGGGAGGGGATGGGAGGGGAGAGAGCGAGGGGAGGGAGAAAGGGATGGGGCGAAGGGGCGGAGCGAAAGGGATAGAGGGAGGAAGGGGATGGAGTGAAGGGATGGAGCGAGGTGATGGAATGAACGGATAGAGGGAGGGAGGGGATGGAGCAAGGTGATGGAATGAACAGATAGAACAAAGAGCAAAGAGGGATTATCATTCATCAACGGTGATCAGGCGCAGCAATTGCAGTGGGGCGCGGAGGAGGGATCGAGGGAGAGAGGGGACTGGACATAGGGATAGTAGGCAATCGATGGCGAAAGGTGCAGCGGTTACAGTGGGCAACTGAGGAGTGAATACCACCACAGAATCGGTCAGAGTGGGTGAAATTTGAACCGAGGCACAAGAGGGCACAGAGGGACAAGGGCACAGAGGGACAAGGGCACAGAGGGACAAGGGCACAGAGGGACAAGGGCACAGAGGGACAAGGGCACAGAGAGGGCACAGAGGGACAAGAGAGGCAGAGAGGCAGAGAGGGATTATAAGTCATCGATGTTAAACAGTTGGGCTGCCATGTACTTACTACCATTGAATCGCACAGAGGGGTTGTAATTAGATCTCGTGCACAGATGAAAACGCCTGGGCACCGAGGCACAGAGGCACAGCGGCACCTGCATGTGGAAACCAGAAACAATCAGCCTGGATTTCCGAGAATTCCCAAAAAACCAACTTGAAACAATCAGCTCTTGGGAGCCATGTTGCGTTCCACTCCAAAAGCAGCTTCTGAGGATTCCCAGTCAGAAAAATGCTTTCGGGTATTCCCAACCCACAAGCGCTTTCGAGGTTTCTCAGCTAGACAATGTCCTGCAGACCAATCACTCACGAGAACCGCAAACCATAAACCCTGACAAGGGTATGTGTGCAGGGCAGCAGTGATGGCGACGAGGGGGGCTGCAGCAGCCGAAGGGAGGGCAGGGAAGGAGCGAGCGAAGGGAGCGAGGGGAGGGAGCAAGTGTACGGAGCGAGGGGACGGATTGCGGCACAGAAAGGTTGGGAGGGGCACTGGAGAGCTGGAAGGAGTTGTTGAGAATTCTTAGATGCCGCCTGCAGATTCATCTTCAAGGCGCAATCACTACGCTGTCTCTTGGGAAGGGGTATGGGGTGGAGAGAGGGATGGCAGCGAGACGGGCTGCAGCAGCCAATGGGAGAGCATCGATGGAGTGAGGGGATGGTAAGTGGGGAGGGAGGAGGGGGAAGGAGCGAGCAGAGGGAGCGAGGCACAGAAAGGTTGGGAGGGGCAATGGGGAGCTGGAAGGAGCTGTTGAAAACTCTTCATTGCAGGCTGCAGATTCGTCTCCCAGGCGCAAACACTACGCTGTCTCTTGAGAAGGCATGGGGTGGAGTGAGGGATGATAGCGAGACAGGCTGCAGCAGCTTTTGAGAGATCTTGAAA